CTCTCTCTCTCTCTCTCTCTCTCTCTCTCTCTCTCTCTCTCTCTCTGAGATAGGGTCTCACTGTGTAGCACTGGTTGCCCTTAGACTCACAGTTCCTCCTGCCTCTGCCTCTTGGGTGCCAGAAAGCCACCCAGCCTGACTCCTTCCTAATTTCTTGCTCATGATGAAATATAACAAGGTTTTGTTTTCAGTCTAGTTTGACGTTTCTCAGAACTTCTGCAACTGAAAGGCTTACATACACATCTCTGGTAGAGCTACACCCAGAGCCAACTGGTCACCCTGGGTGTCACAAATGCGGAATTCACGGCTGTCCATCTTGTCAGAGCACGTGGTTACTGAGGACTCATTACAACCAAGCCAAAGGTTTTCCCCTGAAAGATCCGAGTAAACTTGAACTCTGAGTCAAAGGGAGATGTGGAGCTCCAGCCACGTGGTGGCAGAGACCTGGGCATCCATGAGGCCCTGGGTGTAGGCACCAATATCACAAAGCTACAAGAATAGAAGCAAGCCTTAGCAAGGTCACTTCCTGTTTTCCTCCGACGTTAGCATAACCCGGTGAAAATAAGTTTATAAACTTCCACTACGCAAGGAATTTCTGAGGTAACATGTGAGATGTCATTTCAACCGGAAGTAAGAACACTATAGCTAGGAGTCACTTCTAAGAAACCCCAGGGCATGTATGTCACTGTGACTCAACATTTCCTTTACCATTTGAGGGAACTTTGTTTCATGTTTCATAAACCCTGCTACTTATTTATCAGGCCATGACCTTCTGCCTCATTTAAGCTAGTTCCTTAAATATCAAGGAGAAGAAAGGGTACTTTTTCGTGGTTGTTGTCATTTGTTACAAACTTTCCATCTTTAGGTTGAGTCAGCCTGACTGAACAGCTGTAAAAGACAGTCAAATTTATGGACAGGTTTTCAAATGGGCTGTTTTCTGAACGAGAGCACAGATGCTAACATTCCTGGGGTTGTCTTTAAAATATTGTTTTGGAGTTAGCATTGGCTATGCCTCACCAAAATTGAATGTTTGGTAAGAACCGAGCTTAAGAAGAAAGTAAAAATAGCTAAATTTGCCCCAATTTAAAAACAAAAGCCTCTCTCACTGTTAAAATAACAATGACATCCAGAATCCAGTTGGAGCCCAGCATGGCTACGTACACCTGTTGCCCCAGCTATTGAGAGGTGGAACCAACAGGGTCAGAAATTCCAGGTCCTCTTCAGCTGTAGAGCAAGTTGAAGACCATCTTATGCTACATGAGACCCCATATCAAAATGAAACAAAGATGGAGTTCATGCAGACAACTCAGAGATAGGATGCTATTCTAGAAAATTCCATGATACCACCATCTCCATAGATGACTTGGGTAATTTTCCATTTATTTCTTGAATGCTTTAAATGAAACTTGCCCAAAAATAAAAACACCTTTCAGTCATCCTGACAAGTTTGAAGGCCACAACATCCTTAGAGTTTAATTTATTATTATTTTTTTTTTTAGATCAAACTCCAGTAAACTCATAGGAGGGAGTTCAGGCACCCCAAATCCTTCTTTACCTCTTCTCTCCCACAACAGGACATCCTGCACCTTCAAATGAAGACAATCACTAGCGCCGATGCTGATGCCTTCAAGCAGAGAATAGGCTGGTAAAGATCCTGGGTCTCTTACCTTGAACTGAAGATGCCCAAACTAGGATGAAGGCGAGAGCCAGGACAAGCCTGCTGCCCACGGGAACCTGCTGCATCCTGACCAGCTCAGCCACACACAGCCTCTCGATTAGCAAATGTAGCAGGGTGCTCTCTCTGTCCCTTTTAGAAAGAGGTTCCAAAACCTCAGACCCTGCCCAAAAACACACGTCACAGTTTCCTGAACAAATAGAAAGAGATCCACATCAACACCCAGAAAGAAGAAGAAAGTTGCAAAAAAAAAAAAAAAACAGCAAAAAAAACAGTTCATACCCCTGATGAAACGCCCCCAAACTGCCCCCCCCCCCACACCCCGGCTTTTGTTGTGTATTGTTTTTTTTTTCTTTTTCCAAAAAGTTCTGCCATCTGTCATTTGCATGTTAGTTACAAAAAAAAAAAGTTTCCCCCATCAAAAAGCCGAATCAGCATTCTGAACACTTTTTTTTTTCTCCCTCTCTTCAGGTAACAATCTAAACAAACGAGGAGGACTCAGCTGTTCCAGAGCTGAGCTCGGGTACCACCGGCTCATCCACAGAGCACATCAAAGAGGAACAGGGAGTCAGGCGCAAGCAGCGAACGTTCTGTGCCGGGTTCTCAGCCCCCAGGATGCGTGGTCTCGGTCAGCATCCAGCGTCTGCTAGGTTTCAGTATTTTCATTGGATTCCTGGCTTTCCCTCTGCCTCACAAATAGGTGAGGACTTTGGTTTTAAAATAAAAGTTAAAACATAAATAAATAAATAAATAAATAAATAAATAAATAAATAAATAACTTAGCCTTCCCCTACTCCTTTAAGTCAGCTGTTCCCCAGGGATTGAGACCATGTATGTTTTCATTTTTGTTTGTTTGTTTGTTTACTTTGAATTTTTTTTTCTTTTGGGTCTTAGTAAAGCAAAAATCAGGAACAAGGAGTGCAGGTCCCCCCTCAGAGGGCTGTGGAATGTGAAAACAGAGACACACACACTCCCGTTCATAAAGGACTAGCGGGTCCCTGGTCCTTAAGATCGCAGGGCTTGGGGGAATGGCTGCTCTGCGCCAGCCTCACAGTAAGGGAGGTTTACACTGTATATGTAGTGAGACAGCTTTCTCCGTCTTTGCTCTGAAGGCTCAACCACTCTGCACTTCAGGGTGCCTGTTCCTCGGTGGCTCAGATGCCTGCGCACTTTCCATTTTACCTTCCTGCCCCTTGGCCATCCTTTGATGGGTGGGAGGAGTTTTCCTTCCCTTGTTCTTGGCTTCCTGCTGATTCCTTACTGTTTCCTGATATGAACAGCCCTCGGAATCTAATAGCTCAGGATCCCTGATAGAGAAAATGAAACCCAGCTAACCCTCCTCAGAAGCCCTCTCAGAGCCTAGGAATCCTCAACTGGATACAGACCCAGCACACGCCCTGTGTGGAATATTAGTATCTGTTGGAATCTCTCTCCTCTGTCTTTGGTCCCGTTTCATAATAAGCTTCAATTAAAGCCCTGATAACAAAACCAAAGATCAAGTTAACACCTTCAGTAAGTTTCCCACGGCACCTCCGAGGCAATTAGAAGTAGCCACGGCTAGTTTAGTCAGCTTCACGCAACCTACAATCTCGTGGGAAGGGAGTCTCAGAGAGGGACCTCCAGATCAAGTCGGCCATGGATGGGCCTGAGGGGAATTGTCCTGATTATTTGATGTGGGAAGATCCAGCCCACAGTAGGCAGCACGATGCCCTCGTTTGGGAATCTGGATTGTAGTGAGCGTAGAGAAAACTGGCGATCATTTGTTCCTCTCAGCTTTGGACTGTGGATGTGGTGCAACCAGCAGCTTCAAGTTCACAAAGTTGCACCGGACTTGACCTGGAAGCATTAGCTAAAATATGAGCCCTTTCTTCCCTAAGCTGCTGTTTGCCGGGGTCGTTTATCACAGCAACAGAAACAAAACCCAAAGAAACAGAAATCGTACCTGAAAGTGATCATTGGGAAATTTTTCTCACTCGGAGACTTTTTTTTTCTGCTGCTCTGAGTCATGGGGATATTTTTTATTGACTTCCTTACATATTTATTGAGACAGGATCACATGTATCCCCAGATGGCCTTGAACCTGTTATGTAGCTGAAAGGATTTTTCGCACAGCTTGGAACAGATAACAGCAGACCAGAGGGGGAGTTTATTCAGGAGATAGGGAAGAGAAGAGAGAGAGAGAGAGAGAGCAGAGAGGTAGAGGAGTAGAGGCCGGCCATGACCACGTAGAGAGAGGGGGAAGGGGTAGGGGAAGGGGAAGGGGAAGGGGAGAGAGCAACCTGCAGGCGTGGGAATAAGGGGGCAAGAAAGGAGCAAGAGAGAGAGGAGAAGGCAAGCAGCCCCTTTTATAGTGGGCACGCCTACCTGGCTGTTGCCAGGTAACTGTGGGGCGGAGCATACCTGGCTGTTGCCAGGTAACTGTGGAGGTGGAGTTTAGACAGAATACTAACAGTAGCCAAAGATGACCCTGGGCTCCCAAGTCTCTAGTCCTCTCTTGTCATACTCTGGTGAGTGGCCAGACCTGTTCTAGAGCTCAGGTTCTAAACCATACTCCAGAGACAGATGAGCGAGGAGAAGAAAATCAGACTGGCGTGTGAAAGGGAAGTCCTCTCTTCTAGTCATTGCATAGGGGTGTCTGCTAAACGTTTCCACTCAGAATGATCTAAGGCCGATTTGTTTTACACAATCCACAGTTGGGGAGGACACTGGTTGTGTCGCTGGTTTCTCTCAGGAGTAATTTCACAGATATCAAAAATATTGAAAACAAAACTCTTAGGGAAAATCTTAGGCTTTTGGAGCTTCAGGGGGAAAGACCCTCTGAAAAGAAGTGTTTAAAAACTAGCCTTAGGAGGCCAGAGAGATGGCTTAGGAGTTAAGAGGATTGGCTACTCTTCCAGAGGACCTATGTTCAATTCCCAGCACCCACATGGCAGTTTACAGCTGTCTGTAATTCCAGGCTCTGACCCCCTCACAAGGCATACATGCAGGTGAAACAACAATGCACATAAAATAAATTATATATACATATAATATATATGTATGTATATACTTACACACACACACACACACACACACTCATATATGAAACTGGCCTTAGCCTAGTATGGTATCTTATGACTATAACTCCATCATTTGGAAACAGAGGCAGTAGAATCAAGAGTTTGAGGCCAGCCACATGTGGTGGCACATACCTTTGATCCCAGCTCTCAGGAGGCAGAAAAGTCACTCTGTGAGCTCAAGGCCAGCCTGATCTACACAGCAAGCTCCAGGACAGCCAGGACTATAGAGAGAGACCCTGTGCCAAAAGAAAAGAAAAGAAAAAAAAGGAGAAAAAAAGGAAGAAAGAAAGAAAGAAAGAAAGAAAGAAAGAAAGAAAGGAAGGAAGGAAGGAAGGAAGGAAGAAAGGAAGAAAGAAAGAGAAAAGAAAAAAGAATTGGAATCATCCTATCACACTAGACCACCCGAGATCCTGCCTCAAAAAGAATCCTTGACTGCCCAACTCCTAACCTTCTCCTAGGACATGCCCTCAAGCTAGTCTGTAATTACCTATGAATATTGTTAATCATCTTTTCTAATTAAAAATCTGTTAGTGATTACTTAGAAAAGGTCAACCGTTGGAGATTCTGTTTTTTTTTTTTTTTGTTTTTGTTTTTTTGTTTTTTTGTGGTTTTTCAAGACAGGGTTTCTCTTTGTAGCCCTGGCTGTCCTGGAACTCACTCTGTAGACCAGGCTGGCCTCGAACTCAGAAATCCGCCTGCCTCTGCCTCCCAAGTGCTGGGATTAAAAGGGTGTGCCACCACTGCCCAGCTCTGTTTTGTTTTTAAGACAGGATTTCTCTGTGTAGCCCTGGCTGTCATGGAGCTCACTCTGTAGACCAGGCTGGCCTCGAACTCAGAGATCTGTTTGTGTGTGCTATCACCGGCAGTCTTAGTTGGAGATTTTTAAGGAAGAATTTGAACGATACATCCCTTGTTACTTCCCACCCCAGAGATGACTAAAACCATGCCCTGCCCCTGGCGATTTAAAGCTGCCCACATCACCCAGCACACTGGGTCTCTCTTCATCGCTTTTTATTGCTTTTCTTTATACCCTGTGGCACTGTGGAGCCCCGCTGATATCTTGCAGATTCCAGCCAGCCTTGTACCGAATTCAGATGCACCACCTGCAGACCCTAAGCTTCCTCGGGATATGCGGATCTACCTGAGTTCAAGTTCTCCACTCAGTGATTATTAGCCTGGAACTCATTACGTAGACCAGGCTGGCCCCATTCAGAGAGGTCTTCTTGCCCTGGTCTCCTGAGCCCTGGGAGTAAAGGCACGGGCCACCACAGTCAGTCATTTTATTTTCTTTGAGGCAGACTCTCTGGTAGCTCAGGCTAGCCTTGAACTCGCCATGTATCTGAGGATGGTCCTCCTGCCTCAACTTCTCTTAGTGTTGGGATTACAGGTGTGTGTCATCCGTGTGTACAATAAGACAGCACAGCCCTGTCTAGACTTCACAGTCCAACCTCGCTCCTGTTTCCTTCTATGCCCAAAAGAACCCAAAATGAAGTTTGAAGCACCTGGCATTCTATTAGAGTTAGCTGCCAGTCATAGAGGAAGAAGGAAGTTCTCTCTCCTTAATGTGTAACCACAGAACACTAAGCAGTTCAACGGCCTTCTCCTTGCCGTCTCCGGGGGGCTGACCACATTGACCAATTAAATTACTACACTTTGGTTGGTTCTTATTTTATGCTAGACTCTAAGCCTCTTTTGCTTTTTTCTTCCCTCCTTTGTCTTCATTGCAAGCACAAACAAAAAAAAAAGGGAACAGACTCCCTCAGTGATGCTACTTAGAAGTTTAGTGGTTACTGGCTAGTGGCGGTCCTGATAAGGACAGAGTGAGTGCCTAGCACGCAAGGGATCCTGGGTTCATTTCTCAGCAACTCACACACCAAAAACCGAGGAGACAGTCTCCCTATCTCTTAGATGGCAGCCAGGCCTGATTTTTGAACTTGCAGTACAGCGGGCCAGGCTGGCTTTGAACTAGCAGAGAACCTGCCTCTGTCTCCCAAGTGGGATTAAAGGACTGCACAAAAACTGTGGCCCTTGTTCTTGCTGGGCAAGGGCTTCAACCACTGAGCTAGCCTGAGACCCTAGAGAAGCGGTTTCTTTTAAAAGATTTTTTTGTGTGCATGAATGTGTGCCTGTA